ATTTTTCACGAAGATGCGAGATTAATTCTGTTCGTACTTCCATCTTTGGTTAACCTGCTGACTATGACACTTTAACCGGCAGTGAATTACTAATACGATAGCCAGATGATAATTGTTTATCCGAACACCAGATATGCGCGTAGAGACACGCGCATGCTATTTGGACTTTATACTGAATTAATTGAAATTTTTTAATTTTTTCATAATTTTGTAGTATATTTTTTTTATATACTAATATGTAGAAAGAGTCAATGTATAGTTTTAATCCGGAAATGCCACGTAGTATAATAATTTATAAAATATGGTTTATGAATTATTTCCGTGCAAGATATTACGTACTCAGTTTACTGTCAATATATTTATTTAAGCTTGATTTCCACGTTTACTATATCCATGCTATATCTAATGTAACTAATGTAATAAGGAATCTGAATATACAATTTATATATTAATGAAAATAAATAAGATTCATTTAAAAAATATTTAAATCGCAAAAAATTGTAAAATGTTACATGTTAATATTCTTCAATAATTAAATTTAAAAAATCAACAATTAATTATCATAAAATTTATGTTTTTAATTTAAAATATTTTTCATTGCGATTATTTTAACATAATTGATAATTGATTTAATTTATTTAAATTAATGTATTATTTATATGTTTAGATTTATTTTTTATAAAAAATTTTTATTGTTATAAAAATAAATAATGAAAAAATTATCAATATAAAACTATTTCTATTATAGTCTGTTATGGTCATATAATATTTTTGTCAATATACGCAATATTTTAGATTAGAATTTTAATAAATTCTAATTAAATTAGTTAAAACTATAAATAATAGTTAAAAATACTAAACATTGTAAAACATAGATTTATATTCTATTAAAGAAAAAAAATAATGAATTCTTTTAATTAATTAATATGATTTTTTATACGTAAAATATTTACTCTTATTTTCTAAAACTTATTATGTTTTATACAGATACTTAATCATGTCGATTTTAAATATTTTTCTTATAACTTAGATAATTGAAAAAAGAAGGGAATTGGTTTGGAAAACTAGGGAAATTTTAATCGACGTTATAAAATTCTATTAAGTTACTATTTGTTGATTCCATTCTTCATAAATTCGCCATAAAATTAATTGCACTTAAATCCATAGTTTACTTGTCATGGTTGAATCTGTACTTAATATACCTATACAATAATAAATTTTGTTTTGATAAAAAACAAGTTATAAATAGTAAGAATAAAAATTTGATGATACTTGACTTATATAAAACGATAGGAAGGGTATGCATAAACGAAGTAATGTTTTCCGATACACGTGCACACAAAGGCACACTGTATGCAATGTATAATATATTTATGTGGGCATTAAAATATGCAGCTAGTTTTATATCGTATGACAATATGTATATGTATATACAATATTTGACATGTCAAATAATTCACAAATAGTTTTGCTTTCTTTCTTTTACACATATATCTTTCTTGTCAACAAATAACAAAGGCGTGAAATATGAAAATTTTAATTTACATAAAACAAAATTCTTGAAATATACACGGTTGACTACTTTTTTTTGTTTTTTTTGAACAAGATCCTTGGTCAACCTATGTTAACATAGAATTGTACAAAACGATAGATATTTATCGGGATATAATTTTCATCGCGGTAATAATCACGGTACTATCTAAACGCGTTTCATTATTACAATAAACGTGGATACTTGTGTGTGTGTATATATAACCAGTCTGTAACTACTGCTATCATTAAAAATCATATATATGCATGTATATATCCACACACATATTGCAACATGTATATATATATTTATAAATACATGTGGGGCCATCCCATTTTTTAATCTATCATAGTCCACTCTTATATTAATAAAGGCATACTAAAAATTGAACAAGCATGCTAAGGCATGTATTTCTTACAATGATTTATATACGATTCTTGAAACTGCATAAAAATTCTATTAAAAAATTAATTAGCATATACAATTCAGTAATTTGTATATACAAATATACTATTTTAATTAGTGGGACAGAATTATTGATCTTATATCATATATGAAGTGCATATATGTCTTAACATATTTCATAATTATATTTATTGCAAATATCAATAAAAACTTTTTATTGAAAAAATCACATTTTCCCAAAAATTATTTTGATAATAGTTTTTATTATATATAAAAGCGTATCTCCCAGTGCCTTTATCATATCAGTTGCAGACTAGCTGAATGGATTAAAATAGGGCAGCCATTGTGAGTATATGTATATTCATTTCAGATTTATAAAACTCTCATATGACAAATTAGTCATTTGAGAGATCTAATAATATAACACAAAAGATTTTGATAAAGATCTTTAAGAATATAACACATAATATGGTTGTATAAAATATTCTGAACACTGTAACATTCAGATGCTGTTCAAGAATATACCACTGATTAATATTCAGTTATTAAATTGTCCATTTATGAATATCCATTTTATATAGTTGAATTATTTTTTTTTTATATTATTTTTTTCTGTTTAATTATTTCAAGTCTGTCTCATTAGACACCGTAATATGTTATTTATAGATCTCAGTAATTTGAAATTTTGATCGATAATTGGCTACTCTATCAATTTAATCATCCGCATTATTTATAGGTATCCAAAATATTTACAACTTTATTTGCAGATGTTTCAATTTTTCATAATTCCTAAAATTCAATCTCTCTTTACAATACAAGAGAAGTTCCATTTAAAACTACTAGTTCTGTGTGAAGTTATTACTTATTCTTTGAATTAGTAAAACTTCCATTGACTTCAGTAACTGTTTTATATGCAAAAATTCAGTTACTTTCAGAATTAACTTCTTTTGCACCTTCACCATCTCCTTCTTCACGTGTCATGCTTTCTATAGGTGCTTGTGCATCCTCTACATTGGTAATATTACTAGATGGCAATTGTCCTTGTTGAACTGGTGGAGATACAGATGGTGGACCATTTTGAGCAGCTCCTTGTGGAAATCCCGTTTCTGCCGATACTAAGTGTGATGGCATATGTGGTGAAGCAGTTTGAGATTTTCTACTTTTTTCACCTTTTCTCCATAACGTTATTTCCTAAAGATAATTTTATTGTAAAAAGTATTTTTAATAAAAAATTAGTAAATTATGAATATATTTTTTTAACTTACTTGTTGTTTAAAGTATCTACGATCTTCTTCATCCATAAGAACTAAATTAAGATAATATCTAACACTGAATTTTTTATTGATATCACGCATTGTAGGTGTTAAATCATACCCTGCTAAAAATACTCTTATAGGGATAGATTCGCCTCGGACAGGTGCTCCATCCATTATTTCATATTTTGCTATAGTTTCATTTTCTGTGAATGTATGTGGACCTGCAAATATATATTCTATTTATAACTATAGTATAAGTTATATAGCATAAAGCAAATACTTAAAAAATAAAAGATTTTCTCCAAAAAAAGATATTAAAATCATAACAGTCCAAACAATATTATTATAACTATTTTTATGAAAAAAGAAAAAAATTTGTTATTATACAATACCAGAACCAGTAGTTTCCCGTTTTATTATGGCAATTTCCATATGTTTGATTTTTATTCTAACCAAAAGAAAATATATTTTTCCAACAATAACATCTTTTAAGTGATATCTGAAAATATAAAAATAAAAATTTTAATCTTTCTAAATTCAATACTTTTGATAAATATAAATACTAATAATAAATATAAATCTATAAACATATAATATATATTGATATAATATATATTATATCAATTAAATTTTTCATTTCACAATAACTTACTTGCTTTTGTTATACTCAAATTCAATATGCAAACAGTCTTCAATTCCAACTTCCATTTTAATAGGATTATTCATATCTGGATAGGAACTAAGAGTATGCACAACTAATTCAAGTTCTTTAACAATATCACTAAGTCTTCGAACAATTGTAACTTTGAGAAAATATCTCAATCGTACATTAGATCCTGTATAACTTTCAAATGACTTTTCTACATTTGCAAATTCAAAAGTATATACTGTATTATGAGTTAATTCTCCTGGCCTAGCTAATTCTTTAACTAGGCTTGTGAATTCATGATGATTTCCTCTATCATAATATAATTCAATTTGTCCAATAAATTCTACTTTTACACCTTGATGTTCTAATTTACCAGCTTTCCTAAGACTAATATTAATCTGCAATATTAATTTTATTAACTGTATTTAATATATAAAATTATATATTAGAAATAATGTTTCAATAAAAGAATATCATTATTATATATATTCTGTTCTATGATTTGAATTTATCAAATTATGATATCAAATTAAGATAAGTATATTTATTTAAAGATATTAAATTATTTTGCAATATTAAATCAAATATATATATTTAAAAATACATGAACATAAATAAATTAGAAGATTATAATATTAATAAAAATTATTAATGCATAATAAGATAAAATTAAGTATTGTTTTTTACGCTTACTTAATTGTAGTTTTCGAATACTCATCATAGGTTATGAGTAACATTCTATACTAATATTTCTTTTATATTATTGATGTCTATTCATTTAAAAAAATGTTTTTACCTTTCCAGAAACGGTTTCACCGTCATAATATAACAAGTGGCGCTCTTTTTTACCATCTTCAGATTTAATGTCTGCAGTCTTTCTGGTTTCTGCATCATCCAAAGTAATTTCTATATCAGCCGATTGACCAAACCCAAGAAACTCTACGAAAAAAATAAAAGAGTAACGTTAGAGAAATTGTCAAATTTCATAATGAATGATTAAAGTGTTTCCAAGACGAAGAATTTATTAATCAAAAAGTAACATACCATTTTTCGTAAAAAAAGTTGAGCTTGTAAAAATGATCACACGTTCTATTATAATAATATATGCGCTAACAAGACCAACGTGTGAAATCAATGAAAAATCCTTGAAGGCAACATTTTTTCACGTAGAAATGAGAAAAGTTGTATTATTTTTTGCTCGCTTCCTCCCAAAAGTCACAAGTAGCCAATATGGCTGCGCACTGTGGCCCCCACCCTTATCATGTACTGTCAAACTTCCAGTCGCATATAAGATACAGTAACATTAAAACCGGTAGTATCTAGTATTATTTATATCCATCTTTATTGTCTTTTAACATTTCTCGATATTAATTGGATAATATGATACATTTATGTTACAAATATCTCCCTTGAAAACATCTGTTCATTTGAATGTCAGGTGCGTTCGTAATATTGTTCAATGGCGAATCGGTGACGTTCAAACATCAAACTACATTAATCTACACGTGATAACATGTTTAAATTCCATTTTCAAATCATTTACTTTAGCCTAAATTTGAATCGATATAAAGAAATAATTACTGGATATTTAAAAGAAATTTTTTAGTAATAACAACATAATTAGTCAATGTACCTTGCTTAGGCTAATTGAGTAAGAGGTGAGGACAAAAAAATCAATTTCCACATTCACTATTCATCATAAGCATATTGAATATATCATAATGGGAAAAATTAAAGTAAAAGTTGATGTGGATTATTCAATTATTATAGAGATGTGAAGAAAAATGTGAAAATAGTTGTGTATGAGGTTAGATTCTGTGTTATTTCATACTATAAATTTGTTTTCTTATATTCTTATAATAATTTTTTTATAATATATTATGAATAAAATATATAATGAAATTTTATTAATAATTGCATTAATTTTTATTTCAAGCAAAAACCATAATTATGTTGATAAACAATATTGAAATTTCTTCATATGATTAATAGTTAAGAATCTAGTAGTAAATCATGGATTATGATTACATGTCATTTCATAGAGAAAAAGATGTTCATAACAAATGCTATGGTGGAAGATTATGGTGTATAAAAGTATGTATAATTATTTTGTTATTTAATTTAAATATTTTTTATTACAATATAATTTAAATATTTTTTGTTTTTTTTTTATTATAGGATATATGTGGAATTATATGTGCAGTTTTAACATGGTTATTAATAATTTATGCAGAATTTGTAGTAATGGCTGTTATTCTTATTCCTACAATAAATACTTTATACTCTAGTTTAAACACTGCAATATTTCAGTCATTAGCTTTTTTAGCATTTGCATCTCATTTAAAGACAATGTTTACAGATCCTGTAAGCAAAAATTATATTTTGAAATATGTATAATTAATATATTTAATATATATTAATAACTTAATAAAAAAAATATAGGGTGCTGTTCTAAAAGGAAATGCTACAAAGGAAATGATAGAACAAATGGGATTTAGAGATGGACAAGTCATTTTTAAATGTCCTAAATGTTGTTCTATTAAACCTGATAGGGCACACCATTGTTCTGTTTGCCAAAGGTAAAGGAAGTTTATGTATAATTTTGAATATCTTAATTTTTATATAATGTATATAATATATAAAAAAATAAATAATGATAAATATTTGAATCTTTTATTTGTAGATGTATTAGAAAAATGGATCATCATTGTCCATGGGTTAATAATTGTGTTGGAGAAAATAATCAAAAATATTTTGTACTTTTTACTGTGAGTCTTACTATAAATATATGCAAATTCAAAATATTATTATATAATTTAATATTTATATAATTTATTTTAGTTCTATATAGCAGGAATGTCATTGCATTCTTTATTCTTATGTATACAACAATTTGCTACATGTGTAAGACAGGAATGGAAAGAATGTTCTACATTTAGTCCACCTGCAACAGTGGTATTATTACTTTTTTTGGCTTTTGAAGCCCTCCTATTTGCCATTTTTACAGTTGTAATGTTAGGAACGCAATTACAAGCAATTTGGAATGATGAAACTGTATGCATACATTATTTAAAAAAATTTCTATATTTTCAAATAGATATTTATTTGTTATTTTTTTTGTAGGGTATTGAACAACTTAAAAAGGAAGAAGCCAGATGGGTTCGTAATAGTAGATGGAAATCTATTCAAGCTGTATTTGGAAGATTTTCCATTGCTTGGTTTTCGCCGTTTACTTCTCCTCCAAAAGGAAAAACAAAGCAAGATTCTTATTTATATTCCGTATAATATGTATTACGGTTTATGGTTGATTCCCAGGGATATTTAATATTTTTAAATATAAAATAATTATGACGTATCATGTACAAGTGAATAGAATATTTGTAATCTTATATTGTTACCTAACATTCTTATTTTATTGCGACCATTTTTTAAAGACTTACTTATAATGTACTACATTATATGTAGTACAAATATATTATAGTTAAAGTATGTAAATTTATAAGCATACGATATAGTATGTGTCTTGTAAAGCTTCTTGTGCTAAAATATTGAAATTATTATATTGCGGTAATGACAACGCTGAGCTAATTTTTATCTATGATAATATCGACACTAAACTAGACTCGTAAACTGAAATTTGTTTATTGTATTAATATACACATTACATCGTAGAAATTAATATACAATGAAACTATGCGATTGTATTATATGTGATTGAATATATGTACATGACATTAGTTTATTCGCGAATTTTAAAAAATTCAAAGAATTAATGAAACTGATTTTTTGCACTGTATTAGAGAACATATATATTGCACATTGTGATAATAGCGTAATACATTTACGAACGATTTAGTTTATTTGTTTTTTTTTTAATATATTAATATATTAATATATTAATTATCAACTTACAATGTTTCGATCAAATTTGGTGATATGTAACAGTAATAACTGTTTATAGTATACAATTTTTTTTAAATTTAAGCATATCGTAATTACATTTTCTTATTCTTCAATATTGTATTCCTACGACGATACCTGATTTTTTGTACACTTTGTACAAATACACTTTTTTATATTTACCAATATTGTCTTTGTTCGCCTTTACGAACAGTAAAAAAACTTTTCTTTAATATATTTCTTTAATCTTTTCTATTTTAAACAATTGATTTATGTAAAATACGTTCAACGCTGGTGAAATTCAAGATTGCATATTTTCTAATTTCGTTAATTTCCGTTTCTATAAATCTCAAATGTGCTCTTGGTCTTCAGGGTGGGGGCGCTAGGTAGTTGCAAGGTCGTTAAATGTGTGCAAGTAAAGAAAACGTCTTTCTATACTGTTGTGTGCGATTGCCGGAGTGGCTTTCACTTTTGCTACGACTACGTTTGGTAAGTTTTGATCATGAAAACTTGTAGTTTAGCAATCTTTTTATGATAAAGAACTTTTTTATAATATAGTTAATATTTAAGCGATTTAAATTCAATATAGAATTGACGTGATCGTTTTATTTTTTCCAGCTTTAATCATTGAATAAAAATGAAAGTGAAATTGGTAATTAATTATGTTTAGTTTAATTCAATTAATGAAGTTTATTGAATTTAATTAAGTTATCTATTTTATATATATATATATATATTTCCATTTTTTGTCTAGATAATTTTTATCCTTTCAATAATTTTCTTCATTCTAATTGTGTAAATATTAAAAAGAAAATTTTTCAAAAAAAAAGAAAAATTCAATAAAAATTTTTAAGTATTTTTATTAAATGAATTTTGATTAAATTTTTTAATCAAATATTTTTAATTGTATGTAAATTGAAAAAAAAAACGAATGAACAAATGTAAGAAGAAAAAACACAAACCTGTTGCGTGCTCGCGAAATTAACAGCAAATAAATTCATGACTCATGACTGATTACTCTTTTTCTTCATCAAGTGATCAAGGGAAAGATAAATAGAAAATATATATCTTCAAATCAGAATATTATTTAGCTTAATGAAAAAATCTATTAGAAATTTTTCCAATTATTATTTATCATTAATGAAATATACATATAATATCACAAATTGCATTTATAATTTATATCAAAATTGTATATTGGATTGATTAATCATATTTAATTTCTATAGAAAATAATATTTTGAATAAATAACTCTCGCTTATTTTGATATAAATAAATAAATAAATTGAAATTGGTTGACTAGTAATTAAAATTACAAATCTTTACATTCTCTTCTCCAAAATACTTATTGTATCATAATATTTATTTGGCTAATTTATATCTCAACTATACGAATCGAATTATTTTAAATATCTTTAATTATGTGATTTATGATATTCGCATTTCCCATTTATTTATGATATAATTAATTATATAATTAATATATAATCATATAATTAATATGTATCTTTTATTTTACGCAAATTTATAATATTTTTCATAATTACAGCGCTTCGATCAATTTTGAATATGGATCGAAGTATGGCAGTAAATTCTTTCATCTTCATGGTATGTATTTACATTAAATACTTACGTTTTCTTTTATCATTTTATATATTTTCAATTTTAAAAACGTAAGATTGAAAAATGTTAATATATGTTACTATATAATATTATAAAAATATTATTAAAATATTATTAAAAATCAAAATTACATCACGTAATTTAAAAAATCACTATGAGACATTAAAATCGTGAAAGGTCATTTGAAAGTCATCATCGAGTCATCATATGAATAACAACTTGTTCTTATTAACTTGATCTTCATAATATTAGGATTCTTTTTCCTAATCTTGGAAATTATTATCGAGGTATAAGTTCATCAATTCAATCAATCAATCAATTGTATCATGTATCATAACCTAAAATTATTTTTACAATTCCAGTGTATTTTCCTTTTAATTTCTTTGATCACAATTGGAATGGCTTACGATCCAAATGACAAATCGCTTAAGGATATTCTGCTACCAGAGGGTCAATTCGAGGCATTCTATCTAAAGGGATCACAGGATCAGGAACAGAACGCAGTAAGGCCTCCGCATCTACACGGCTCCTTTCATCAGTACAAGAACCCTGCTCTAGTTGGCGCACCGAACAGCGCCGCTTACGGTTTTCGTTTCGATGGAAAGCGTCGTTTTAATTACAATTAGATGAATTTATAGGATTTACGAGTTTTGCGTGAAGTATCTTAGTACTTCACTTACAATAAAGTTTCACACCACTTAATCAATTGTATTACGCATTATTATAAATGTTATTATTTATTATTCAGTTAAAATGACCAAATTTATCGATTAGATTTTCTCCAATATATAGGAATAACAGAGAAATTTTGAAAAATGTAATTGCTCTCCGGGACAAATAGCAATTAAAATTGTACTAATTAGAAAAAATTTAACAACGAACTCTTCTACTATTTGTGCACACACACACACACACACACATATAGAAATATTACGAAACGGTATTTTTTATATGTATTACACCTGAACTTTCAATAATTAAAAAACAAATTAATTATAAATCAAACTTTGTACAAACGCACATATTAATTATGTATCACATCGCATGTTCTAGAGTGATTTAGAGACATGTAGAATGCACAATTCGTTTCGCAATAAAAAAGATAGCCTGTATATTATACACTCCATAATTTTCCAATCTTTATTTTTATAGAGACGTTATAGGGAACACTTATCCCAGACTGATTACTTTCTTATTAGAACAAGATTTTCCCGCATACGATTCCACAGTTTCAACTTTTTACCTACCACTTTCAATTATCATTTACACATTGACGTGTTTTTATTGAACCTTTTAATAGCTTCCACTCGTTCGACTTATCACCGTTTATGGTTATCATGACGCTGATATCTTGGCCGAGTCGAGTACATTACTTTCGTTTCACATCAATTAATTGACAACGCGAACAAGTATATCTTGGAATAAGCGTGTAACTCTGTTTGGGAGTTCGGAGTTCTTCATCGTTTTTCGGATAAGAAATCAATGACGATGATTATATACTTAAATAGAAAATCTCGATGGCCATTTCGTTCCTCTAATTAAAGTAGCTTCGAATAGGAAAATTCACTTTCGTTGAGATTGCCGCGTTTAGTGGTGGAAATCAAGAGGCGATTTATGATCCTCGATGTGTATATATATGTATAAATGAAAGGAAAAGATATATTTTTTAATAGTGCGTTTGCATTGGCCATAGCCTTTTAACGTTAAAAACGTTATACTTAAACGTTCGTCCGCACATTTTTTTTATAATAAAATAATTTTTGTTCCGTTTTTTCTTATAAAAGGAAAATTTTTTTCATCTAGGAAACTGTTGGATAAACTTGCAAGAATCTTCGATTCTCAATAATTTATTTTTATAATGCATGGTAACACGTGTTTATAGAGAAATCGGAGAAACGAAATTTTTTCAAAAAATAGTAAGTAGACGTTTAGAAGTATTTTCACGCTTTTTGTTAAAAGTTCAAAAACGATTAAATTTGTAAAACGTTTGTTATTTTTTTCAATCAAAAGTTAGAACATGATTTTAATGCAAAAGAAATTTTCAACGTATCTTTATCAGCTTTCTTTTCTTTTTAAGTACGTCGATCCTTTGATTCATTCAATAAATCTAATTACCTAATTTACAAATTATCAATATTAAATTTCGTCCGACGCTTCCTGATTCTAAATTGCATATATGCATTATATGAGCCGAGAGGAAGTGATAGCGTGATGTGCACCAATTCCCGGTGATTCGACGCGAAACAAATCTCTAAGATCAGTCGGTATCTCTATATTTTCCTCTTCTTCTTTTTTCTTGTTTTATTCAAGAGAAAATCGTCGACTCTTGCAGTAGCCGGGCAAAACAATGTTGTCAAGTCCAGTTTAAACAGTTGCCGTACAAGTGCCTCTTTGGAAAGAGGGAAGCTTTAAAAGACGTTGCCAATGGATAGATGTCTCCATAGTAGGATCGGTGAAGTGTAGGATCTAGTTGGACGTAGTACGATCAGCGAGATGAGGATCGCGTGTGTGATCACGGTGAGTGAATTGTTTACACGACGTGGTGAAACGACGAAACGAAGATCATTGTGATATATGTTTGTTCGAATATTTTTGGAAAGAAGTCGAAAGTAAAAATACGTAGATCGATGACGAATATTTGGAAAGAAGAAGATCGCAAATGAAGATGATTTTTTGACACTCTGTGTCGATTGTGATGAAAGAATGTTAGTTGGATAATGTAAACTCGTGATTGTATATTTAAACAGTTTAATATGATTTCGTTTCATCTTATCTTTCTTTTCTTTCTTTTCTCTTAATTGGAAGGAAAATTAGTAATATCTCAAGGATATTGTATTTAACATTGGAAAATGCGAGGCTAACGAGGATTTTTATTCTCTTTTCATGATTGCAGATTTGTGCCGCATTTATATCAACATTCCTCGGTGTAGAAACCGTGCATTCTGAAAGGTACGTTTCCTTTAAAAATTTTTAATGACGATTT